ATTGCTAGTATCACTCAGCCCTCTGTGAACAGTAAACAGCCATCAGTGTGCTAATGATCCATTGTTATGCTGATGGTCCTTCTTGAGCATGTGATCAGCTGGTTTTGGTTGTCAGCAGCAAACTGGTTGATCCACTCTGAGACGGTGTTATTTAAGAGACTGAGCTGAATACAGCTCCTCAGACTGAGGAAGTCTCTCGGATGAGAGACGAAACGTTTCTACATTTTTTTGTTGATTTGCTTTGTTGTTTTTTTTTTTGAATGAATGTCCAGAGGACCAGATTGAACTTTTTTGGATTTTTCTACCTGGATTATTGAGCATGCATCAGGATATTTAGTTGAAGTTATTGATGCACGGGGGTGGGGGGTTACACCGGGTACTGAAAGCAAAGATTCACATACTTTTACCATCACAAATATGTAATATTGGATTATTTTCCTCAATAAATAAATGATCACAAATAATATTTTTGTCTCATTTGTTTAATTGGGCTCTCTTTCTCTACTTTTAGGACTTGTATGAAAATCTGATGATGTTTTACGTCATAATTATGCAGAAATATAGAAAATTACAGACTTCATAAACTTTCAAGCACCACTGTACATGTTCAGCTGGGTTGGAGTCCAGAAAAGTTAAAGCCATAGTATTTAACTTTTAAGTCAAACTAAATGCTGCCTTAGAAAGTACCAAATGTTTTGTCATTTGATAATCTGAACTTCATGATCTAAATTTGTAGCTTCTGAGGTGACTCAACACCTACCCCCATGTAGAGAATTCAAAGCTCCCGTGCAGTGGCACTACATTTTTCTCTCACTCCATCTGTCATGGCAGAAAACTTACAAATTTAGCTCAGCCCAAATTCTTTACCTAAACTTTGTTGATCTCAGAAGCTAAAAAGAAACTTTTCAGGCAGTTTTTTTTAAATAAATGTATCATAAATCACCGGGACTGATAGCAAAGGTTTTGAACTACCCTTGTGTGCACCTTAGCATTGCTATAAACAGTTTTTTTTCCCATTTGATTACCACATCTAAATATAATGGCCTTTAAAAACAATCTGTTCATGCACAAGTGTACAATTGTATTTAAAAATAAAAATGTTTTTACAGGGGGGCAAAAAAGTATTTAGTCAGCCACTGATTGTGCAAGTTCTCCTACTTTGAAAGATGAGAGGTCTGTAGTTTTCATCGTAGGTGCACTTCAACTATGAGACAAAATGAGGGGAAATAATCCAGGAAATCACATTGTAGGATTTTTAAAGAATTTAATTGTAAATTATGGTGGAAAATAAGTATTTGGCCAATAGCAAAAGTTCAACTCAATACTTTGTAACATAAACTTTGTTGGCAGAGGTCAAATGTTTCCAGTAAGTCTTCACCAGGTTTGCACACTGTAGCTGGTTGGACCATTCCTCCTGCAGATCTCTAGAGCAGTGATGTTTTGGGGCCGTCACTGGGCAACACGGACTTTCAACTCCCTCCACAATTTTTCTATGGGGTTGAGGTCTGGAGACTTTCTAGGCCACTCCAGGACCTTGGAACGCTTTTTACGGAGCCACTCCTTCGTTGCCCGATCGGCGTGTTTGGGATCATTGTCATGCTGGAAGACCCAGCCACGTTCCATCGTCAATGCTCTCACTGATGCAAGGTGGTTTTGGTTTAAAATCTCACGATACACGGCCCCGTTCATTCTTCCCTTAACGCGGATCAGTCGTCCTGTCCCCGTCACCCAAAAACAGCCCCAAAGCATGACGTTTCCACCCCCATGCTTCACAGTAGGTATGGTGTTCTTGGGATGTAACTCAGCATTCTTCTTCCTCCAAACTCGACAAGTTGAGTTTTTACCAAAAACTTCTATTTCGGTTTCATCTGACCACGATATTCTTCCAGCCCTCTTCTGGATCATCCATGCGCTCGCTGGCAAACTTCAGACGGGACTAGACATGTACTGCGTCAACAGGGGGACACGCCTGGCACTGCAGGATTTGAGTCCCTCTCGGCGTAGTGCGTTACTGATGGTAGTCTTTATTACGTTGGTCCCAGTTGTCTGCAGGTCGTTCATCAGGTCTCTCTGTGTAGGTCTGGGATTTTTGAGCACTGTCCTCATGATCATTTTGACCCCACGGGATGAGATCTTGCGTGGGGCCCTAGATCGAGGGAGATTATCAATGGTCTTGTATGTCTTCCATTTTTTTTACAATTGCTCCCACAGTTGATTTATTCACACCATCCTGCTGCCTATTGTAGATTCACTCTTCCCAGTCTGGTGCAGGTCTACAATTTTCTTCCTGGTGTCCTTCGACAGCTCTTTGGTCTTGGCCACGGTTGAGTTTGGAGTCTGACCGAGGCTGTGGTCAGGTGTCTTTTATACAGATAACGAAGTCAAACTGGTCCATTAATACAGGTAATGAGTGGAGGACAAAAGAGCGTATTAAAGAAGAGGTTACAGGTCTGCGAGAGCCACAAATTGTGCTTATTATTGAACAAATACTTATTTTCCACTATAATTTACAAATAAATTCTTTAAAAATTCTACAATGGTTTTAACTGGATTTTCCTGCTCATTTTCTCTCTCATAGTTGAAGTGCACCTATGATGAAAACTACAGACCTCTCGTCTTTCTAAGTAGGGGAACTTGCACAATCAGCGGCTGACTATACGTTTTGCCCGACTGTAGCCTATTTCCTAAAACATTGTGGTTGATGCCTGATGGCATCAGTTTGCTTTGTGCTGCTCATGTTCAAAGAGCAGCACATCATGTGCAAGCAGACATGAGCTACTGGTACATAGTTTCAATTCCTACATGAACACGAACACATTTTAAAACTAAAGCGCTGCAGTTTATTTTGACCCCAGGGCAGCAGGAGGGTTATTAGTGAGTGTTGGAAGAATGTTTATTATGCAACATACAGACCCTTTCCAAAAAATTAGAATATCATAGAAAAGTTGTTTAACTTCCATAATTCCATTCAAAAAGTTAATCTTTAATAGATGATAGATTCAGGGCCCACAACTTAAACAATTTCAAGTATTTATGTTTTTCTTATTTTTACATAATTTTACCTTCCACCTCATGAAACCCACAAAAACAGGATTTCAAAAAATTAGAATACTGTGAAGACATCAGCCCACACTTCTCTGTTTTTGCAGAAAAAAAAAAGAAACTAGGATCAAAACAAATCAATCAAAATATGGTACTTTCTAAATGATATGTCAATCTTCAATACTTGGTTGAGAATCCCTTTGCCTTAATCACCGCTTCTATGTTACGTGGCATTGACTGGGAGTTATGGAAGCCCAGATTTCCTTGATGCTGTCAGCTCTTCTTTGTTGTTGGGTCTGGTGCTCCTCATTTTCCTCTTGAGAATACCTCATAGATTCTCAATGGGGTTTAGGTCCGTCAAGTTGGCTGGAAGTGAAGCACTGTGTCATGAGCATCAAACCAGGTTTTGGTGCTTCTGGCATCATGGGCAGGGGCCAGGTCCTACTGGAAGAGGAAATCTGCATCTCCATACAGATCCTCAGCAGAAGGAATCATGAAGTCCTCTAAAACATTCTGGTAGACTGTTGCAGTGACCTTGGATTTAAGAAAGCAGAGTTTACCAACACCTGCACCGGACATTGCACCCCAAATCATGACTGACTGTGGATATTTCACACGGGACCTCAAGCAGTATGGGTTCTGTTCCTCACCCTTCTTCCTCCAAACCCTTGGACCTTGATTTCTGAATGAAAGGCACACTTTACTTTCATCGGAAAAGACAGAGGAACCCAACAGTTGTCGCCCATCTCCCAGAATGTGGTGGTTTTTGAAGCTGTGACTCCCGCCTCATTCCACTCTTTCTGGATCTCTGCCAGATTATGAACTCTTCTCTGTTTGATAATCCACTGAAGCCCACGGTCATCTCTTTTGCTGGTGCATCTTCTCCTGCCACATTTTGCCCTTCCACTAGACTTTCCATTGATATGCTTGGACACAGCACTCTATGAACAGCCAGCCTCCTTAGCTATGAACTTTTGTGGCTTACCCGTCCTATGGAGGGTATCAATCAATGAACATTCATGCCCTGCAAAATGTGGCCTGATGACTTCACAGTATTCTAATTTTTTGAAATCCTGTTTTCATGAGTTGGAAGCCCAAATTATGTAAAAATAAACAAATAAATACTTGAAATCGTTTAAATTGTGGGCCCTGAATCTATCATCTATTAAAGATTAACTTTTTGAATGGAATTATGGAAGTTAAACAACTTTTAAATGATATTCTAATTTTTTGGAAAGGGTCTGTACAGCTGTGTGTAAACAAATTAGACTTCCTTGACCCACTCATGCATCCTGGTTAACCTAATAAAAATAAAAAAATAAAAATTACTCTTAAAGACCCAACAATGTAGTTACAAGAACTATGGACAGCAACAGTACAGCCACTGCAAAAATAAAATAAAAACAGCAAACTAAGTAGGTTTTGTAAAATGTTCCTGTTTTAAAGCAGAAGTCCACAACTCTGGTCATGAAGGCCGACCCTGCACATTTTAATGGATTCCCAGCTTCAACAGCTATGTACAGTAAAATGAAGACATTATTTGCATGTCTTCTCTGGTTTTTGTCAGCCATCTGTGTAGTGGTACAATCGAAAAACAGACTGATGGCTGGATAATTTGGTGTGGTTGATAAAAACACAAGTACCTATAAATACCTTTTAATCTTATTAACCCCTAAAAGCAGTGAAACAACTTAATCTCTACGCTGGTTTCAACAATTCCTTCACTTACCTGCTCGGTGTGAAAGTCTCCAACAACCATTGATGTCATTCCTACAAAAAGATTTGGCTGTGAAATCCCCACAGCCAAGCGTGGCTGGAGTGTGTGACACATTTCCTCCTTTGCAATTACTTCATACGTTTGGCACTGACGAAGATGAGGGGTTCACTTTTACTGAAAAAAGCTTGTGGGTTATGATTATGACAAGATCCGTGAAGAAGTTCTTTAATCGACGAGACGATTTTAACAAGCCTGCCATTTATTTTACCAAGGGGAGAATCGTGAAACCGCATTCGACTCATCTTAAACGGTAACAGGATCAGAGGTTTTAGGAGCATTTAGAAACAATCACGATACAAATGTGTGGTGTTTTTACAATACACATTGTTGATGCAATGTGTCCACAGGCCAATAAACAGTTACGTATACGTATCTACATCTACATCGTATCAGCTTACAACGCCACAGGGGTTTGGGGTTTAAAGGAAAACTAACACGATGGAACCAACGTGCATGTTAGGTCGAGAAGAAAATGAAGTTCCGTCTTTAAATTGGTGCTAATATCATCTACACACAACATTAGTTATTCAATCTAATTAGTTTAAACAGGAGCTGCCCCATTGAGACCTAAACCAATAAAAATACAGTAAAATGACACCAGTAATAACACACAGGAGAGAAAAGGCGTAAACCTGATCCTAAATAAAAACAAATTATCGACAAGGACGTAGAGAAATTAGTTCTTCTTGTGAGCGTCGCAGAGAAACGTAACGCGCTCAGCCACGGACAGGAAGATAGAATCACGTGCATCAGAAGGCGGCAGGCGACGACGCAGACAACAACCCTGAAAAAAGAGCAAATAACACACATAAACTACTTGCATCTGGTTAAAAGCGCACGTAGTTCCATCAGGCATTGTACCCATGTACGGAACCGAGGACGTTCACAGATTTAAGGATGAACATTTATTCTCAAATGAACTGAATAACATATTTTAAAGTTGGATAAAAATCTGACTTGATGTCAGTTCACTGACTTTAAATACGCGTTTACGTTGAAGAGCAGCTTGAACGGAGACCTGTTCAAACCGTGTTACACTTGAACGCTCTAAAGTTTGTACGAAGGTTCAACAGCTGCCTCTGCCTTCGGAGGGACGAGGTGCAGTTTATAAACTGTCAAAGATCATTTTATCTCCGATCTATTCTCACCTTCAACGTCGACGTCTCGCTTTAATAGGCATAGCGTGGAGGGGGTGGCGGAGGCAGCCTGTTAGCGTAGGGGTCCCTCGCACGTGGAACTCCATATGCAGAACGATCATAAGAGTAGCCGTTACTGGGAGGGGGCATAGGTGCAGCGGGCGCCCGCCCGATGGGGCTGCGATCTCGGGCGTAGTACGCTGAAGGGTGAGGGGTAAGTGGTGGCGGAAGGGGCCGACGCTCATATGGGTCAAGCGACGAGCTCAGTGGACGACCTCGTACGACGGCTGACGGTGGAGGCGGAGGAGGTGGGGGGCCGGTACGCTGGCCCTCATAAGGAGAGACACCATACGGACGGGCTCTATACTTCTCATAGTAATCTACCATGCTGTACCCGTCACTCTCGTAGTGCTGTGGATAAACAGCTCGTCTGGGGAGAGGGGGCGGCAGAGGAGGAGGAGGAGGAGCGGGGTAACCTGGGGGCATAGCGCGGCCCCTCATGTAGCTGGGTGGTGGAGGTGCAGGTCTCTCTCCTGGATATTGCGGTGGCCAGTAGCTGCCTCTGTCTGGGGGAGGAGGCGGGTATTCTTCAGATTCATCGTATTTGGGACGACTCTTGGAGACCTGAACATGGATGCGTTTCTCTAGAAACAAAAGCAGACGTATTGAAGAACACTGGGTGAGGATGAACGTAGGAAACAGCTTGATGCTTCTTTTTGTTCTCCCTTACCTTGAATCAATGTGTTATCCAGTCCCCTCATGGCATCCATGGCCTCTTCATAGTTGGGCATGTGTACAAAAGCAAAATTCTTAACAACAGCACACTCTGTGACCGTACCGTACTCTTCAAAGAGCGCACGGAGCTGAGCGTCACATCCCTTCTCCACGTTTGATACGTGCAGTTTGACCGGACTTTGGTTCTTGCCGTGGCTAGCCTCCACGTTGATCGGCGTGCCGTGAAGCATGTGCATGTGAAGACTCCGGATGGCTTTGGTAGCAGCCTTACGATCCTCCATGTGGACAAAGCCAAAATTTTTGACAATGGAACATTCAGTGACTGCACCATACTCTGCAAAGAGCTGCCGGAGTTCATCCTCCGTCGCTGCTTGCGGCAGATTTCCCACAAAAATCTTCACCATTGTTAAAAATCTGTGTAGAAACAGCAGAAATAAAAGTCAATAAAAACTACATTAGACCAGTCTCTTAGTAAAATATACAAAAAGAATATGTTCACATCAAAACTGTTCATTACAGGCTAAATGTTTTTTGCCCCAATACAAAAATAAAATAGGAACTTAGTTATGGAAACAACGAATAAGCATAATTTATAATAAAATAAGGTTAAATCATGCCATCTGAACCTGGATGATTGTGCTTACAGACCTTTTTCTGAACTATACAATATCAAAAAACAACAGCAAAACCAACTTTTTAACAAAAAAATAATGTTAAATTGATGTTTTTAAATGAATCATGTCCAATCTTAGGACAACAAATGAAAATTAGCTATTCTGCTAACTCCAGCATATTTACATTAATGCTTACTACTAACATGTTGATTAATATGCATTGTCCTAATTTAAAAAAATAAATGAAATGAAATTAGCCTGTTAGCTTAGCTTTAGCTTGATCTTCAGCACGCTAACATAAACGTGGCGAAAGATTGTACTCGCTGGTAGAGCAGCTCCATTAAACGTACAATTCATCGAATAACATACAGATCGTTTGATATATATTTTTTAATCCACTTAATATTTGAAAGCATTGCTTACGTTTTGCCAGAACGGGATGACCAGAAAAGCAAACCCACTCAAAAGCTTTTTTTTCTTCTGTTAAGCTCCGCCCCTCCTCCGGCATCTCAGTAACAGCCACAGCGCCACCCGCAGGACTGGAGGGGGATGTGCAGGCAACCATGAGCGTTTGGTTTACACAAATATTTTACCCTCATTTTGTTTTCTAATAAAAGTAATACTGTGTTAATACACAGAGACTTGAAATAAAATAATCGTGTCTGTTTACGACTACCACTTCGAATGTGAAAACACGAAGAGCACCATGATGTTGCGTTGAAAAAGCAGCGATGCTGCGTTCACGGTCTCTCGGGTGAAGTTTCGTAAAGACCTGCCAGACACAAAAAGGGAGAATGTAACACAAAAAAGCTTATTAGGTTCAGGTTTTTTTCCTACTTGGTAAAAGTAGTTTGCCTCTGAAATATGACAATATGTGTTTTCTTCTCAGCTGCTGGTGAGAAGAAAATCCCTAAAGGGGAGATTTACTAAATGAGGAGAAAATACTCCCCCCCCCCCCCCCCCGAGCCTTTAAGGTTAAAAAAATAGCTCTGAATCGTTACAGAACTATTTTCCCGTTTCTCCCTGAAAGCAACAGGTTTTACCAGCTGTTCACTTTCTCTTTGTTTAGTTGATTCATGATTTCTGAAGAGACAAAGCTTCATCTGTGGCTCTGAAAACCCTCATCTTCCAGGTAAGACTTGGACATTTAAACTGTTATTTGTTGCCTCATTGGACAGCTCTGTTAATTGTTCTGTGCATCAGGACTATTGTTGACGATGAGCGTGTCTCAGACCCTGGAGACAGAGGAGGACCTCCTGTCTTGTCTCCACATCAAGATGTACCACCCGCAGCAGAGTTCTAGAGGTCTTTATGGGTCCCTCCCTTTGGGAACCAGGAGACGACACTCAGCCGAGGATCCCCTCAGACTGGGTCGAGACTCTGGGTCCTGCACCTACGCTCTACTGGACCCCCGGGTGTCCCGCAAACAGCTGTGTCTGTCTGCACACCGCTCGGCCCAGAGTCCAGACCTGCTGTTCTCCGTCCAGAACCTGAGTCAGAGAGGGAGGCTGTCCGTGAACAGCTCGGCGCTGGACTACCTGGAGAGGATGGACCTGCCAGACAAGGCTCTGGTCCGGTTCGGGGAGTACGAGATGCTGATCGTCCGCGAGTCTGGGGAGGCCAAGGGTAGTTTTGAGGTGCAGTTTGAGGTTCTGGCAGCGCCTCCGTCCAGAGAGACGTGCACGTGTGTGCCTGGTCTGGGACCAGTGATGGACACGGGCCTGATGGTCAGAGAACTTGGACCCCAGGAGACCGACGACACCCTGATCTGTTACTCATAACCAAGTATCGCTTCTTAGACACACACCTGTCAGAACTACACACTGCTGAGCTCCACTTCAAACAGCTGTGGTCACATCTGCAGTGACGTCACAGATCCATGTGCCAACAAATAACAGAAACTATTATAAAGCTTTGTTATAACAGTATGTTGACAAGAGGCGAACAACAATGTGTGTGGATTTGTGTGTTAACAAAATATCTCCTGAACCACTGGACAGATTTTAATTAAACTAATCGTTGGACATTTATCATCTACTGATAAATTACATCTCATTTTAAGATGGCTGCCACAGCCAACAGGACATTAGTTAACACATCTGGTCATAATTCAGTTTGGATGATAATAAGCTGATTACACTGGATAAGTTGGTAAAGGGTCATTTTTTAAGTTTTGATCCAAACGGATAGTTTCATAATTTTCCGATATAAAAGTTGTGTACAAAGTGCATGTTCCTTGAAAGTCTTTAAAGAAATGTGTAAACCTAAAAAAACTCAGCTGAGGCTGAACTCTGAGCAGTTCACTTGATGGAAGCAGGTTTTTCTTGATCTGACAGATAAAAACACTCGTCTTTAGATTGCTAACCAAAACTCATCGTGCAGCACATGGCAATGGCCCAGACAACCTTTGACCTTGATCTGTGACCTTGGAGCTGGGGTTCAGGACACTCCGTCTTGTGACGATGCCCACGTGTAACAATCTTTTACTAACCTCACGTGTAACAATCTTTTACTAACCTCACGTGTAACAATCTTTTACTAACCTCCTAAGACCTGAACTCTTGCATATGTGCATGCCAGGTCCTAGGAGGTTAACTCATGTTTCATAATGTTGTTTTGATGTCACTGCACTTGAACGCAGCATGAGATCCAGATAAGATGCATTTAAAGGACGTCAGTCTTCGTGGAGACAAAAAGCCTCAAAATGTCTGGAATGTTTTCACCGTCATGCTGTTCACTCATGAATGAGGCTCCAGACCGACTCGTGTGCAGTCCAGCAGCGTGAGTTCCTGCTCAGCAGCCCACGCACACGAGAACAAACATCCAAAGCAAAAGCATCTTATTTTGGTGCAAAGGTGAAGCATCAATGTTCATGTGCACCGTGTTTGTCCTGCACAGAGGAAATGGTCAAATTTACTAAGTATTAACACTTAGCAACAAACAGGAAAAAAAAGGACTCAAGATAATTTTTAAATTACAATTTATTACAAAGAAGTACACCAAAAAACTAAGCGTTATAAATAAATGCCATAAATGATGGATGACACAGGTTGAGATGTTTGACTCAGCTGCAGACTGGACACCAACAGAACGTCATGAGAACAAGTGAAGGCTGAAAAGACCCCATCACTGAGGAACTGAGCAGGGACTGCACGTAAACCTAAATGTTTTAGGTGCAACATATTCCAGAGGACAGGAGTCAAACTGTGGAGCAGAGTGAAGGATCCTGGTGAGCAGAGGGACACAGGTGCAGTGCAGGGACCAGGGGGTGGCCAGTGGTGGCCTTAACCACCATAGATTAATCTTTGGCCACCTAAATCATTTGAGGAAAGTATACTTTTAGGCAATACGAAAAATAAAAAGCAAAGTTTTCTCAAATAAGAGGCCAGTTTATACATATAACATTGTGGTGGCCATCTTGGATTTGGACATGTCCACCTAAATTTTGAGTGACCTTTTAGCTGCCATACACCAAAACAGAAGCCGGCACATTGCTCATCTCTGAGGTCATCCAGCACACAAAGTTTACATACAGGTGTGTCTCAAAAAATGTGAACGTTGTGGAAACATTCAGGTCTTTTAATCACTTCAGAAAGTGAAACTAATATATTGCATAATCATTAGAGTGAAATATTTAAACTTTTCTTCATGTCATTTTGATCATGAAATACAAGTTTTTCAAAAAAATGAAGAGGTTGAATATTGTAAACTCCTGGTATCACACCCTGATCAGCTGATCAACTCCTGGACATGAGCTACAAATGTCTCATTCCTCAAGTCCAGACACTCCTGAACCAGAGACATCAGAAGTGTCTTATCTGCTGAGGAGACAAAGAACTGGACCGTCTCTCAGAGGTCCCAACTCTTTATAGATTAAAAATTTATAAATCACGGTCCCAGAGTCTGGATGAAGAGTGGAGAGGTCCAGAATCCACGTTGTGGAAGTCCAGAGTGAAATTTCCAGTCAGTGATGGTTTGGGTCCGTCCTCTGCTGGTTCTGGCCCACTGGGTTTTGTGAAGTCCACACTATGTACCAGGGCATTTTAAAGCTCTTCATGCTTCTTTCTGTTGAGTTTTATGGAGATGCTGATTTCATTTTCCAGCAGGACGCGGCTCCAGCAGATGCCTGTGGATTATTCTCATTTTCTGAGACCTTGAGTTTTGGGTTTTCATTATTTGTAAGACATGATCATCAAAATAGCAAGAAACAGGTTTGAAATATTTCACTCTGTGTCATGAATCTGTAATATTGAGTTTCACTTTATGAAACGATTTGACAATTTTTTTTTAAAACTTTTACACAACATTTTAATTTTTGAGATACACCTGTATATGGTGGCAGCCATCTTGGATTGTAATTTTCCAAAGAAACCTTTCATACACGCAGATGCAGCCACACCAGAATGGAAGCTACCACCTCTGTTATTTTTGAAGTCATCATGTTTACAACATGCAGGGATGGAGGGTGTTTCCAGTTCCTCTCTTCGCTCCGTGGTGGGGAACAATAAGTGAAACAGATGTTTGGTATTATTTATCAGAGCCAGCACATGAAACATTACTTACATAAAGCTACATCTTCCAGAAACACTAGAAATTATGTGAAACTTCTTAGTACTTTACATCAACTTTAAATTTACCATGGAGACATCATCCAACTTTATTCAAAACACTCACAGCTGCTATTAGTCTTACCCTAAACTGTTAAAATGATCGATATTGAACTGTAATTCTGTAGTAATTTTATTTTTAAAGTTATGCATTTTGGCTCCGAAGTTCTTAGTCTCAGTAAAAATAACTGTGCATGAAGCAGAGCTCTGGTTATACCAAAGACTCGCAAAGTATTTATAAAACAAGGAAAACGATGAACCAGGTCAAATAAAACTTGTGGTGTTTCTGGACAGATGCACATGCTCACACGTGTGGTCTTTACATGGAAACAGTACAAAGTGATACACAAAGCTCTCAACAAGATGGAGGCTAGAAATCTTACCCAACACTGTCAGTGTTCCTCTACAACTTGTTTTATTTTTAAACTTAAAGCTGACTAAAGGTCTACACATATATACATAAACCTGCTGCCAAAGGTGAAAGAGCAACAATGTTTTCACCCGCGTCTGTCCTGTTAGCCAAATATCTTCAAAGTCATGGATTAATTTATTGAAACTCAAAGTAATCTCTGGATGTGCATCTGCAAGTGACCAACTTTAGGAGTAATCCAAGATGGCAGCCACAGCTAAGGAACTTTGGCAAACACAAAAACAGCGTTGTCAGCTTTAGATTGTTTTTCTTCTTCCGGCTGCTCCCTTCTTCAGGGGTCACAATGACCTCTCAAGAAGACTTGGTGATTGTTTTTATTTTTACACCAGATGTCTTTCCTGACACCACCACAGACCACTGAGCTACCACAGTCCTCTGTGTGGAGCAGAGAGCCAACATCTAGGGCACTTGGGGGAGCAGATGATGGGGGTTGAGGGCCTTGCTCAAGGGCCCAGAGTGGATCAAATGAGGGTGTTTCACCTATCACACCCACATTTTCATGTCACTCCAGGGAGCTGAACGAGCGACCTTCCGATCACAGGTCCTCCTTCTCTAACCTCCTAACCACCACTCCCCTATTTGTCAGATGTACAGATACTGGGATGATTTAGGATTGGTAGTAGCTGCGTCACCCTTAACACACAGTCTGAGCACGAACGTCACACGAGAGCATACGGTCAGTGACGAGGGTCGACCAAAGCTCACCATCATCATGGTGAAGTCTCTGACATGAAACATGACAGGTGATTTAAACCTTAGTTTCTCTCTTTCCACGGCCTCCATCTTTCTTTACAACAGCTTTCCCACAGAGTTTAGCTCATCAACCAACAGCTCCTGTTGAAATAAAACATCTTTAGTAAAAATGCTCAAATGACACAAAATCTAAGCATCGTTTAAATAAACTGAACTTTATACAGGTACTGGTCATAAAACTAGTATATCATGAAAAAGTTGATTTCAGAAATTCCATTTAAAAAGTGAAACTTGTATATTATATTCATTCGTTACACACAGATTGATATATTTCTGGTGTTTATTTATTTTAATGTTGACAATTAGAACAGATAACTAATGAAAACCCCAAATTCAGTATCTCAGAAACTTAGAAAATTAATTAAGACCAATAAAAAGGATTTTTAGAAATGTTGTTCAACTGAAAAGTATGAACATGAAAAGTATGAGCATGTATAGTTGTTGCTCATTCTGTCTGGATTACTGCAGTAATGCAGCGTGGCATGGAGTCATCAGTCTGTGAAACTGCTCAGGTGTTATGAGAGCACAGGTTGTTCTGAGTGACCTTCAGCTCTTCTGAATTGTTGGGTCTGGTGTATCACATCTTCCTCTTCACAACACCCCATAGATTTTCAATGAGGTTAAGGTCAGGTGAGTTTGCTGAACAATTAAGAACATGTATACCGTGGTCCTTAAACCAGGTACTGGTAACTTTAGTACTGTGTGCAGGTACCAAGTCCTGTTGGAAAATGAAATCTGCATCTCCATAAAGTTGATCAGCAGCAGGAAGTGCTCTAAAACTTCCTGGTAGATGACTGCGTTGATCTTGGACCTCAGAAAACACAGTGGACCAACACCAGCCGATGACATGACACTCCAAACCATCACTGACTGTGGAAACTTGACCTCAAGCAACATGGATTTTGTGCCTCTCCTCTTCCTCCAGACTCTGGGACCTTGATTTCCAAATGAAATGCAAAATGTACTTTCATCAGAGAACATAACTTTGGACCACTCAGCAGCAGTCCCAGGCAAGATGCTTCTGACGCTGTCTCTTGTTCAAGAGTGGCTCGACACAAGGAATGCAACAACTAAAACCCATGTCTTGCATACGTCTGTGCGTGGTGGTTCTTGAAGCATTGACTCCAGCTGCAGTCCACTATTTGTGAATCTCCCGCACATTTTGGAATGGGTTTTGTTTCACCATCATCTCCAGGGTGGTTATCCCTGTTGCTTGTACACTTTTTTCTACCACATCATTTCCTTCCCTTCACCTCTCCATTAATGTGTTTGGACACAGAGCTCTGTGAACAGCCAGCTTCTTTAGCAATGACCTTTTGTGTCTTGCCCTCCTTGTGCAAGGTGTCAATGGTCATCTTTTGGACAACTGTCAAGTCAGCAGTCTTGCTCATGATTGTGTAGTCTACAGAACTCGACTGAGACCATTTAAAGGCCTTTGCAGGTGTTTTGAGTTAATTAGCTGATTAGAGTGTGGCACCAGGTGTCTTCAATATTGAACCTTTTCACAATATTCTATTTTTCTGAGATACTGAATTTGGAGTTTTCATTAGCTGTCAGTTATAATCATCAACATTAAAAGAAATAAACATTTGAAATATATCAGTCTGTGTAATGAATGAATATAATATGAAAGTTTCACTTTTTGAATGGAATTACTGAAATAAATCAACTTTTTCAGGATATTCTTATTTTATGACCATCACCTGTAATGTCAAGCTGTACCTTGGAAGTGGAGGACAGAGATGATTTGTTTCTTCGTCGACCCTCAAGTTTGATGCACGAGCCTACGAGCAGAGAGTGAAATTATTAACTGCTTCAGCTCCGTCGTATAAAGACCAGTCTGCAAAAATCAGTTGTTCTGTTTTTAGTAATTGTGACAAGAGCTGTGAAGAAGCAGAGTTACCATCATCTACCTGACTCCTTCACTCGGGCGTCTTCAGTTGATGACTTACCAACAGCCGGCACCTCCTGTTTATAGTTCAACAACCTACAAAGAGCACAGAAACTAAGAACACCAACACTTCAAGACATGGGAACAAGCTACGTACACACAAGATGTAAAAGGACAAGACAGTAATGAAATCGGGACTTACGGTAATTTTTTTTTAAAAAGGAACGTTAAATGAGCCCTTTAAGGAACAAGTCAAAAGGAAATTACAAAGTTCAGATAGTTGTTTTAAGATAAACACTTGAAATGGCTCAAAAAGCAGGATCTTCGTAAAACGGAAGGGGCTGAAATGGCAGGTCAGCCAGAGCGAGGCCGACCAGATCGCAACACGCCGGTTCCTTTCCTGCGTTTTCCGACGTTCTGTTCATTGGGTGGCAATTTCAAGAGGCTGCAATTTGTTTTGCGACAACTACCAGGCAACAAGCAATAACGGGATGTGTCCAGTTCTCCCCTAATCTGACCTCGGACTGGGTTCGGCAGTGGTTTACTCTTTACAGCTTCCGACCCACAAAAAGACAGCAGCAGAAACTCCCATCGCTGGTTGAAGTGTACAAACGGCTCCAGTAATCACATTTTCATCATTTATGACTTGTCTTTACTTATTATACTACTATATAGCTAAAAATCTGTCTCATTGTGCTTCAACCATCTTTGGGGTCCTAACCTCAAAGTTGGAACGCACCATGTCTTGGTACTGGTCTTTACGAGTGTTGAATAGTCAGACCCCATCACCTTTACCATTATACGTTGCAGTCTCTAGCTACAGTCGCCAAAAATTACTTTCCCATTATTACATCACATTTACATTTGACACCACTTTAAATTACTACAGGTGGACATTCAGCAAAGAAGTAAACAGCAGCACTTGAGCTATATTTCAACTGCTTGGACCTGGTTTTAAAAGGCTTAGCTGATGGACAAGAGTCAAAACCAGTGACTGGGTCAAAGAATCTGCCTGCAGAGCTCAGAAACAGGACTGGGAGGCACAGATCTGGAGAATGAACAGTTTTAGTTACACAAAAGGTTCCCACGAGCCCAGTGGCCTCCATCCATCCATTATCTTTGCTCACTTCTTCCTTTCCAGGTCACTGGTGTCCATGTCCACCAGTCACTGTGCAAGAGGTGGGGGACACCCTGGACAGGTCTTCAGTCCGTCACAGGGACACAGAGACAAACAAACATAGGGACAATTTAGAGTTGTCAATATGCCTAACCTGCATTTGCTTTGTGGCAAGAAACCAGAGAGCCCACACATACAGAGAACATGCAAACTCCACCCATGGTCCAATATGGCAACCTTCTCGCTGAGAAGTGACAGCTCTACCGACTGCTGCCCCAGCCTTTCTGAAATGGAAGAGGTTTGGCCCAACAGGACACTCTTCAACAGCTGGTTGTCCACCACAGAGAAGATGAGGGTCTTAGTGAGCGAGGTGACCAAGAACCTGATGATCACACGTTTACTTGCCTTGGCCGGGCGCTCATATCGTCCGTGTCGACCCGGGGGGGGGGGGGGGGTTTGAGAGCTGTTTGCACAGACAGTTGTGACGGCTCAGTGTGAACAGAGCGCCATCTCTAGTGGATCTGTATTGCGCGCCGCTAGCTTAGCGCTATGTCAGTGGCTGTTGACAGGGCGTGGCACCCTGCTTGTATAATGGTAGGGGAAACACTGCACTATGACGGGGCTTCAGAGCAGAGTGAGTCGACACAAATGCCCCCTCAAAGTGGAGAATCATCCAAAACCCTCTTGAAGAACTCGGACTGTGAGGACCGAGACCGATTTTAAAAGTTTAGCTTCAGTTGCAAATTTTATCTCGGGAGGAAACCCATCACCGCTCATCCCCCGCCCCCATCAAACGCCACTGAAAGCACAGCATCGTGCGGTGGTGCTGATTTATAGCAGCATGGATTAGAAGACCGCTCACATTTTTCGTAAAAGACTCACTTCTCAAAACGTGTGGCTCCACCTGAACAGTCTTCTTCCAGTCAGGTGTCGCATTTGAAAGATGAGCTCACGAGCGAAGCAGAAAGCCGTCGATGGCGCGAACCAAACGCCTGAATTCACCTCCTCAGCCGAACAGTGGCGCAATGTGGAAACATTTCACAGTTAATATGCCAAGGTTTTGGTGTAATTTGTTTATTAAAAGCTTTTAAATAAAAAGCACCTTGGAAAACTAGAACGTAAATAAAACCATACAGAACGAATTATAGATTTTACTTTCGCAAGTAAATTTAAACACAAAATGAAAAAAAGAAATGAAAAATCACACTGGAACGCTTGGGGTCATGCCAACAGGTTTCGCAAATCCTAAAGAAGAATGTACAACTTTCCACACCAAGTATTATATCTAAGCACTTCTAAACTTGTTTTACTGTAATCAGCACTTTCTAAATCAACAAGCTGAGCTTCAAACAGTTTAGCTGGGAAATACCACATAATGATTTAAATAAAATCAATTTGCAAGAAAACCTCTCAGTTTTCCGTAGGCCAATTGTTTTTAATGATTTTACATGAGTGTGTGGAGTATTTGGTGATAAACAGAAGGCTACACTGCAATAGTCTGAACACCTATTCTGTAAAACACTTGGAGTCAACAGTGAAAAAAGCGAAAGGAAAAAAAAAGTCATTTGAACACCCCTGGAGAACTGCAGAGGTGAAATTGTTATGTTTTTAGGCAAGGGGGGGAGGGGGGCAAAATCTTCCAGTATGTCTCAGGCGAACGCAACGCAATCCGCCATAGATGTGGTGGGTGTATAGCGCCACGTGTGTCAGCAGACGACGACGATGTTGGCATATTTTAAACCTGAAAAGAGAGCACACCACACATGTCAAGGAGCGCATTTTAGTCAAGACTCGCGCAAGAGTGGTTGATTTCAACACAGCAACATTTGAGGTTTGTAGCAGCAACGCCTAAAGGTTCTTTACAGATTCGATGGCTGAAGCAGGAATTTATAGTCCTGGTAGAAGACGTGACTATATCACTCCTTACCGATTCAGGTCTTTTTAGGTCACACACACACGTCAGAATTTTTTTTACATCGTTGTTAATAATTAATGAGATCTGATACCCTGATGCTGCTCAATAATCCAGGTAGAAGAATCTAATAAGAAGTCAGGACTTCTGGACAGATTCTTCTTGTTGAAACATTTCATCTTTTATCCAAAGGACTTCTTCAGTCTGAGGAGCTGCAACAAACTCAGTCTTATAAATAGCACCTTCTCATAGTGGATCAACCAGTTTGATGGTGACATCCAGAACTAGCTGTTCACATGATCAAGGAGGACAATCAGCCTAACGACCAATCATTAATGCCCTGATAGCTAGGTCTGTCGCGATAATCAATAAATCAATCGCATGATGAATGACAATGATCAACCTCATTTTCATTTATCAGCTTTATCGTTTCTTCGGGTCTCTCTCTTTCTACTGAAGACACTGGATGATAAAAACGGTGTTCTTCACTGACCCCTCCCTTTCTCTTTAAAATCCATTGTAACCGTCCAAAACTGTGTTTTTGGATCGTTAAAAGCAGCCAAGCTGAGAAGCTAAGCTAACAGGCCGACCTTGGGGGGGGAAAAAACCCTGTCTTGTCGACGATCACAGTTGAAACCTGTGCCTTTGTGTAAAAAGTTGTTTTTCTTGCAAAAAGAAGCTGAGAACTTGTTTACTAATTTTTTTTTAATTAAAAGCTTTGAGTGAAAAATGCTATGCTAAAGAGCTCAAACCACACAGAGCGTCTGCCATTTTGAGAACCGAAAAAAGGGAAGGAGAGACAGCCCATGTCACGTCAAGGGGCCCCCCTCTCATTTTTCTTAAAGAGACACACTGCTCACTCACTCACTATCCATCCTTCGGTTCAACCAGTCTTATACTGCCATGCGGTGGTCGAAAAACGGTACTACACAAAAAAATTAACCAACATTTCTTCTTAAATCTGACAATAATTTCTAATTATTGTCAGATTTCAAATAATATTATCATTTATCGCAATAATTTCTGAGACAATTAATCAATCAGCAAAATTTGTTATCGTGACAGGCCTACTGATGGCCGCTTGCTATTCACAGGAGGCTGAGTGATACTAGCAATAACAGCATTGTAAGTGGGGGACATTTGGACACGAAGGCCTCCACCCGTTTTTTTCTTCACAAAGATGGCTTCCTTCAATCCTCTCTAAAACCAGTGTTCCTCTCTCTCAAGGATGTGAACATCTTCATCCCTGACAAGAGTGACCGCTGGCCTGGAGATGAGTGTAAACTGCTCCTCAGACTGAAGAGTATTTTGTATAAAAGATGAAACATTTCAACAAGAAGAATGTGTCCAGAGGACCTGACTTTACTTTTTTAAATGTGATCTGATGTTATGACGGGTCCTCGGTTCTCACCTTGCTGTCTAATATCCTGCATAGCGAGGAGGTGGTGGTGGTGGTGGGGGCGGTGCCCTCTCTGAATAGGCATCCCTGGCACGGGGAGGTGGATACACCGGAATCCTGGACACCGGTGACAGTCGAGAGCGCTCGAAGTACCCGTTACCAGCCGACGAAGGAGGAGAAATCAGGACTCTTCTGATAGGACTCCGGTCCCTGACCGCATAAGATGGAGGTGGTGGCGGGATAGGCCTCCTTTCATACGGGTCAAGAGACCCCGCGCTGAGTCGTGCTCTAGCCAGAGTCGGGGGAGGAGGTGGGGGAGGGGGGATGGAACGCCTGTCTTCGTAGCTCGCGGCGCTGTAAGGACGGGCTCTGTACTTTTCATAGTAATCCACCATACTGTAAGGATCTCTTTCACCGTAGCCACGGTCAATATAAGGTGGTCGCCTTAGGGAAGGGGGTGGTGGCAGAGGAGGAGGAGGAAGAGGAGGATATGCAGACAAGCGACCTCTGTAGGGGGGCTCGGGTCTTGGACCTGGATAGGGAGGCGGATAATAGCTTCTACCACCTGGCGGAGGTGGATACTCCTCCTCCTCCTCCTCAGGACCCCTTCTTGGTGTGCTTTTCGATACCTGAACGTGAATGTGTTTTCCTAAGAGAAAGAAAAAAGCTGTTGGCCCTCAGACGTAAAAGGTCGCATCTCAGCAGGCTGCGAATGTTGGTGACTAGTTGGGAACTAACAGGCAGATTCTTTCCTCATACAGTCGTGCTGAATTTTGTGATTGTGAACAATGAATAGTTTGACTGTTTTGAATGGCAAGTTGTTGTTTTTTATAATTTGCAATAAAAGTTTTCTAAATCATCCACAATATTCTGTTGCTCTGTTGTACCCACCTCAGCAACTGCCCCATGTTTATAATTTAATACAATGGTTACTCAGCTTTCGACCCACAAAGTGAGAGTACCCGTGTGAATCGTGCATTAATGTGGCACTCCGAGCTCGTGAGCTGCTGCGTGACGGAGGACAGCACAAGCTATCCTCCATCAATGACTTCCTGGTAGGCTATTGTATTTTTATTTTTACCAGCTGTGTTACAGGCACCGTTCAGAAAAAAAATAAAAATTACTGTACGCATTTGTGTTTGTTACCAGTACGTATTTAATTAAGGTTTTTTTTTTTTTTATCTTTCTGTGTAAATATCTCATGTTACAATGTGGACAGTACAAATTATTTGTTTAGTGGGCACTGTTTATATTCGGGTGCGCTCAATAGTCCAGAAATCATGGTATATTAATCTAGACAAAACTAGGGGTGCACTGATAAATTGGTTTATTGGCCCCTATTTCCTTAATTTTAGGAAATCAGACGGTACTTGCATGAGAAACCGTTTTTACAGATTTTTTTTTTTTTAGTTTAAACAGCAATTGTCTAAACTTCATTTATATTTCAGAGCACTACCTCATGGCCAGTTAAAATAAGTTTGTATTGTTTCTAGGATATTGTTCAAGGGTAAGTTTTTCAATAAAATAAGATTGGAAAATTGAAGGTGCATTGTGACCTTACAACATCTGACAGTGTCGCTTATAAAACAAAATCGTGTCAGCAGGTCAGATTTTTTTTTAGAAATCGGTGATCAGCCAAAAAAAATGCAATCCGTGCATCCCTAGATAAAACTAACTATCCATCTATATCCATCCATCCATATATATATATATATATATATATATAATATATATATATATATATATATATATATATATATATATACACACACATACATACATATACACACATCATATTTTCTGGCGTATGTCGCAGTTTTTGCATAGATTTGTCAGTCCTGCAACTTATAGCCGAAGCAACTTATATTCGTTTTTTCATCCATTTTCATAACGCAATTTTCAACTGATGCTTTAAATTTTAAGAACTGCAACAATGAATCCTCTCGTGCACGCTTGCTTCACTCAGCTGGTGCAGGCGGAGGAACACTGAAGAGCTAGCGTCTCCGGCTGCGATGGATGGCGCCGCCCAGGCGAAATGAAGCTGTTTTGACCATTAAATAAAAGCATTATAAATGCAAAGGGTCTGTAGTGACACAAAATAAATGCAACTTCTACGCCAAAAAAAACTTAAAAGTTTTTTTTCCTCTTCATGACACTTTTTTTGACTGATGCGACTTACACTCCAGAGTGACTTAAAAAACACGGTAATTACCTAATTTTGTTACATTTATTTTGGATTCTGGTGATTATCTAGGGACTCGTTTTTTCATGACTCATCGTGAGGTCCTGTATGGGTCATTTGAAATGAAGACAGAACATGTACGTTTTCTTTAATTAACAATTATTATACGTCAGTGTCACTTTATTTAAACTGGTCTTAAGTCCTGGATGCTTCTGTCAGAGGTGAGCTCCTCTGCTGGAGTCCAAATGCTGCTCTAGATCCCTGGACGCCAGCAAAGACAGTGCAACCACTTGAAGAAATAATTTAGTGATTTAGATTTTTATAAAGCAAGAAGACTGGGTCTCTGCGAACGTTTAAAACCATTTTGGAGACTACCTCACAAATTACTTGCCAACTAGTTACGAACAGTCGCAGCTCAGTGAGATACTGGTTTAAAGGCTCAACGAAACAAAAACAGTATTTATAAAAGGGACTAGAGCATGAAACTCACCCCTGAACTCTTTGTTATCCAGACCCTTCATTGCGTCCATGGCCTCATCATGGTTGGGCATGTGCACAAAGGCAAAGTTCTTGATGACCGCGCACTCCAAGACTTCACCGTACTCCAGAAACAGAGCCCGCAGCTCACTGTCAAAGCCGCTTTCAACATTAGATATGTGGAGCTTCACAGGACCCTGGTTCCTGCCTTTGCTGGGCTCCACGTTGATCGGCCTACCATCCAGCTTGTGGAGATGGAGCTCCCGGATGGCCTTGGTGGCGCTCTTCCGGTCCTCCATGTGGACAAACGCGTAGTTCTTGTACTTGGCACATTCCGTCACGGTGCCGTACTTGGCGAACAGAACTTCGATTTCATCTTTGTCAGTGTTGGGAGAGAGATTTCCGATGAAAATCTTCACCATCGTTACTCCTGCGCACTTCTCTACAACATACAAAAGACAGAAAGCACGCGCACGGCAAATGGCGAGGCTACGTCAATTATCCGGAAATGGACGACAGTTCTCGAGAACGCTAAAGGCCAAAACACAATTTATTGACGGCACAAGTTCGCTGTAAAATAATGTGTCTGAAAACAAGTTGGTTCAAGCCCCAGACAGATTAAACAACAGTAAAAACAAAGAAGCTCGCTTGTTTGCGCCTTCTGGCCACAGCAGCTAACATTTAGCCTTTAGCTAATGAACTAAGTCGCATAAGTAGCTAAAATAAAAGTCCATTTCAGCTATCGACCTATAGTTTCAAATATATGTGTGTGTGTATAAAGTAAAGTTGTAACATTGGAGACGATAAAAAGCACATTAGTATATACTCACGATTTGAGAACAGCACAGTTTTATCGACAGAAACTCCAACAATGAGCTAAAACTAGCAGCGTGTCTGGCGGTGAATGCGCAGGAAGGCAACTGATTCTTCTTCGTTGGTTTTATTGGCGGTTGGCAAACAGCTTTGAGGGTGCATTACCGCCACCTTCTGAAGTGGAGTGTGAACCACAATTAAAACCCTAATAATTATTCTACTGAAAAGTTCAGATTTTACAAGAAACTGAAAAAATGTCCTACTTAAAACGTGATTTGAATCTGAGCGAAGTAACTCAACTAAATTATATTGTACTTTTTGCTCATTGAATATATTTTGAAGAATAACTCTTTTTATGTGATATTTTATACAATCTATACGTACATGTTCAATCGTCTCCTGTGATTGGCCACATTCACAAACTCCTGTAAGATGTTTTCCTATTCTTTTTAGATTAGAATTTAAATATGTATGACCAAACCGAAGTCTTGATAAAAGATTTTCTTCCCTCCTCCTTGGTTTCTCTCATCCACAACTTTTTTGAATACAATAGAAATGTCTCCCTTTCCGCTCCTTGTTCCATTCCTCCTGACTGGTACTGGACATGTATGAGGACAGCAGGACATGTATGAGGACAGCAGGACATGTATGAGGACAGCAGGGCAGTGATGAGATGTGCTGTAGGAGTGACAGATAGCTTCAAGGTGGAGGTGAGATTTCATCAAGGATTGGCTCTGAACCCCTTCTTGTTTGCTCTGGTGATGGACCGATGTAGTGAACCAGATGACCTGATGATCTGACCCTCATCTGACCCTGATGACCTCAAATCTACCAGATGGACAGAGACTGTTATTTTCATTGATCTGAATAAGTCTGAGCCATCTGATGGCTTTCTTTCTTGAATTAATCAAGCAGAAAAGACAATCCTCTATAATCATTACTGTTTTACAAATGTTTGATAATCAAATTGTGTTAGTTTCACTCAATGCTTACAGGTTGAAAAGAACTACTCATTTTTATTTTACATAAACAGTAAGTAATGATTTTTATTCCTCATTCAAAGAAGAAATCACCTGAATATGCATTTCTTGATTTTCTGTCTGAAATGAGCTAAGCTCGTAAGTGTGTGGAAGTTGAAGCTTCGGTCAACTAAATGTTTACTGAAGAAGAAATGTCATGTTTAACTATTGGAGAAGATAATCAGAATAGAGGCTCCAAAAAGTCTGGTATTTTGCAATAATCTTTTCTGTAAGTTGAAAACAATTTCATTCTCTGACCTCGACTTTTGATAAACACCTTACGTCAAAACCACTCCTCTTTCTGGTCCATCCACGAATCAGAAAGCTCTGAAGTAAACTCGGAAGTAAACTCATTTAAAATGTGACAACTTCCCGGTTCTATCAGTCTAGAGAGAGTTGGAATGGTGAAGAGTGCAGTAGATTCCATGGAGTGCAGTTAGTTCTCAAGGAGTTCTGAAGGGAATTCATGGGAATTCAGAGAACTAGAGTTATGGAGAGTTTTGGAGTTAGAGTCTGAGAAGATCTGAAAGAGTCTGAGAGCTGCTGACAATGAAGAGTCAGAGTTGCCGAGAATCCAGAGACGTTTTGGGATTATGATTCTGTTTTGAGCTAACCACGCACGACTCTCCAAGGATTTTAGCTGTTCTCAACGGAGACGCTGATATCAGTCTGAAGGTTCTTACTGAGGTGATCTATCGTCAACAAGGTAACGGTTTCTTCTTCGACTAAAGTGTACCTGGGACAAGCTGAGATACCTGATGGGAGCGTGCAATTTCTGGTCGAACAGATTAAATTCCCTCACATATTCCTCTGTAAGATAAATCTCAATTTCCTCTTAAACTCACCTCTCTCTCATAAATCAGTACAGATATTTTTTAGAAATATCTGAAGCAAAGTCCTCAAATCACCGCCGAGTGATTTGAAGTTCAATATTTGTGAAACTGTCTGTTATTAATTTTCATATTTTGCCAAATTAATGTAAATGTTTGATGTTAAACTTTGATTCTGAAAATAAATGACTCCATTCATTTGATGGGTCAAAGGTAATAACGTCTCTCGTTCGCATTTCTGTTAAATTCAATACACGACATTACACAGTCAGAAAAATGAAGAACTCGTGAATATTGTATGCATATATATTTCATATATTTGTCATACAACAAGTGACACGTACCTACGTGACTCACTACACCGACGAACTGATGAGATCATGCGGGAATCCCCATGGACTATGATGTTTGCAGATGGACTATGATATTTGCAGGTGACATTGTGATCTGTGGTGAGAACAGGGAACAGGCGGAAGAGAACTTGGAGAGGTGGAGGTATGCACTAGAAAGAAGAGGAATGAAAGTCAGCCGTAGTAAGACAGAGTACATGTGTGTGAATGAGAGGGAGGAGGTGGAACAGTGAGGCTACAAGGAGCAGAGGTCACAAAGGTACAGGACTTCAGGTACTTGGGGTCCAGGAAACACCAAAGTTCATGCTCATTAATCCAGGTATAAATCCAACAATGTTCAGTTAGGTCATCTGGACGGTTTATTTTGTTGCGGAGACATTTTGTCCTTCATCCGAAGGACTTCTTCAAACAGAGGAGCCCACCAAACCAAACTGAATCCCATGAACGTCTCACTCCCAGAGTGGAAAAAAGTTTGCTGGTGAAAAGATGGCCTCCGGGGAACGCCCTCTCCCCTGTCAACTCCTCTAAAGGCATCCGTGCCAAAGTGGTTCAAAACACCAAAGTTCGTGCTCATTAATCTCATCACTCTCCAGGAAAATGGGGAGTCAAGTCAAGTCATATTTATTTATAGAGCACAATTTAAAACAG